AGCTTAGTGTGGTGGCACATGCCTATAGCCCTAGGTGCTTGGGAGGCTGAGGTGGGAGGATCTCTTGAGCTCAGGAGTTGGAGTCCAGCCTGGGCAACATACTGAGACCCTGTCTCTAACTAATAAATAAATGAATGAATGAATGAATGGATGAATGAATGAATGCAGATGTATGGACCATAAATGATACATACTTGGCTTTGAACTTCCTGGTTTGCAAAGTGAAAGAGGAGACGTAGTCTGTTACGTGGCAAACCCTGGGGACTTAAATACTTCTGGATTAGAAGATGGGTGGGAAATGACCATATAAACAATGTAAATAGCTGGTTCTTAGTTCTTATTGATCAAGAAGAGAAAACATACTCAGAAAAATGAAACTATTGAAAAAACCAAAAAAAGAAGAACACAAAAAACCAAAAAAAAAAAGTGAAAATATATCAGTTCCTCAGAGAAAGCAAACATTTCCTGTCATTTAGTGCTAAAAGAAATTTCTTGTGTGGGTCTTCATTTGAGTGCTCTAGATGATACAGTGGACAGGGCCGTCGAAGGTGTCCCTTCAGCAGATGCAGCTCAACTTTCACAAGGCTGTTTCTTGTACCTTCCTGTTAACTCTTAACAGGAAGCTGTGGGTATAACACTAAACATAACCCACGAGTCCAGGACGATACTGTCTGGTTATCCGTTAGTTCTGGGGCTGACTTGTCCTTGAGGATGGAACCTGGGCTCTGGGGCACATGGTGTTTAAGGTTCTATGAAGGGGCCACAGTCGGTGGAAAAGGGAATGACCTGGGATATAGAGCAGGGAGCACCCGGCCTCCAAAGGACCTTGTTATTATCCATTATATAGACTGGGGCTGGCTTTAGAATAAAGGATTTTCATTGCTAAAGAAGTTTGAATTCCACTCGTTTAGATGCTTGCATATCCTTCAAGCAACCTTTCACAAATATCACTTTCCTCAGCTTGTCTTTGGAGAAAAATGAGACAGCAGACATTTTGCAGTTAAGGTCTGTGGTGAGGACCTGCATTGTGGATATACTGAATTGGCCGAGGGCTACTCTTTGTTGGTGATCAAACTATAAATGGAAGGTTACACGCTCTTCTGGAAATTAGTCAGCACTTTCCCTGAGGTGTGCTGAGTACAAAGAGCTGGTTCTGGGAAGCATATTGTTATACTAGGAGGAAAAAAATTCCTAGTTTTAGGATCAAAATAAAATGAACAAAATGGTTTCAAACAACAGAGCTAAGACTTTGAGGCCTGGCTTGAGAAGTTGTAGAATTTTAACAGCTTAGCCCTCTGCCTCCACTTCCCATCCCAGGAGGGAAAGGACTTCAAATAGGAGGTTGGGTTCTTCAGAACTTACTCAACACTTTATTTGAATTTTTTTTTAATCAGGGAGAAGTAAAGAATGATGATTACCAAAATACTGTAGGTCAGAAATGGTCAAATATTGGCAATTTCTTATGATTCAACCTAATATTATTTTTTAAATATTGCGTTATATTTAAAGTAAACCTGAAATTATTGGATTTGTAAACCTAAAGAGGAATTTATTACTTTTATTTTTTGAAACAGAAAAAATGCCTGTCTTAAAGGCTGAAGCATCGCATTATAACTCTGACTTAAATAACTTGCTGTTCTGCTGCCAGTGTGTGGACGTGGTATTTTACAACCCAGATTTAAAGAAAGTCGTAGAGGCCCACAAGATCGTTCTCTGCGCTGTAAGCCATGTTTTCATGCTGCTTTTCAGCGTGAAGAGTCCCACTGACATTCAGGATTCCAGTATCATCCGAACTACCCAGGACCTCTTTGCCATAAACAGAGACGCTGCATTTCCAGGTGCTAGCCAGGAGTCTTCAGGCAACCCACCGCTCCGAGTCGTTGTGAAAGACGCCCTCTTCTGCTCTTGTTTATCAGATATTCTGCGCTTCATTTATTCAGGTATCTTGTCAAATGGTTCTAGTTACTCACACTCTCTTAAGCATTTGAAATCAAGTTTGCCTATGGTCCTCAAGTGTATTGGTTAGTTTTACAGTGACCTTTTCCGTACCATCTGAGGTGAGGATTATACGTGAACTAATATAGTTTTATATATAGTAATTGGTCCAAACTTTGTCTTCCTTACAAATTTACTTGCCCTTTTTATCTGCCAATGTAAAAAATTGTGTTAAAATACACATAATATAGAATTTACCATTTTAACCATTTTTAAGTGTAAAGGTCAATGGTATTAAATACATTCATAATGTCATGCAACCATCACTACCATCCATCTCCATAACTCTTTTCATCTTCAGAACTGAATCGCTATACCCAATAAACAATAACTCCCCATTGCCCTCTTCCCCCAGACAGCCATCCTGCTTTCTGTCTATGATTTAGACTACTTTAAATGTTTCATATAAATGGAAATATACAGTATTTGTCTTTTTGTGACTGGCTTATTTAACTTAGTATAATGTCTTCAAGGTTCATCCAAGTTGTAGCGTATGTCATAATTTCATTCCTTTTTAAAGCTGAGTAATATTGTACTGTATGCATGCACCACATTTTGTTTATCCATTCATCCATTGATGGACACTTGGGTTGCTTCCACTGTCTTAGCTATTGTGAATAATGCTGCCGTGAACATGGCTGTACAAATATCTCGTTCAAGATCCTGCTTTTAATTCTTTTGAGTATATACACAGAAGTGGATTGTTGGATGATACAGTAATTCTGTTTTTAATTTTTTAAGGAATTGTCATACGATTTTTTCACAGTGGCTATACCATTTTATATTCCTACCAGTAGTGCACAAGTGTTCCAATTTCTCCACATCCTTGTCAACACTTGTTATTTTCTTGTTTTTTTCTTCCTTTATTTATTTTTTGAGATAGGGTCTCACTGTATTATTTCTCAGGCTGGAGTATAGTGGCACAATCATGGCTCACTGTAGCCTCAATCTCCTGGGCTCAAGAGATCCTCTTGCCTCAGCCTCCTGAGTAGCTGGGACTATAGATGCGTGCCACCACGCCTGGCTAACTTTCCTTTTTTATTTCGTAGAGACTACATCTTGCTATGTTGCCCAGGCTGGTCTCAAACTTCTGGCCTCAAGCGATCCTGCCCCCTCAGCCTTCCAAAGTGCTTGGGATTACAGGTGTGAGCCACCACACCTGGCCTGTTTTCTTTTTTTTTTTTTTTTTTTTTTGGTAGTAGCCATCTTAATAGGTGTGAGGTGGTATCTAATTGTAGTTTTGATTTGCATTTCCCTGATGATTAGTGATATTGATCATTTTTTCCTGTGCTTATTTGTACTTGGTCTTAAAACTACTTGTAAAAATAATAATCTACTGAGCAGGTATGTTAATATTTTATTTTTTTTAAATAAAATCCAAAATAAGAGAATTTATTGTCCAGTTTAACTTTAGAGAAATAGAAATTTCCAATAGTATGTTAAATCACATGTCTACACTTTTTAAAACCTAGTTATTTACTCTTTGGTTTGTTTCATATATTTTGGAGGGAATCAAGGAGAGAAATTGCATTCAGTTTAGGAACTGGAAATCAGTATCTACAGTTAGTTGAGACCTGATCAAGTTTGGCTATGACTACCTTAGATGTTACTTTTTTCGCTTACTGTGCCCTTTCTTTTTAAGATTCAGCTTATCAATTATTTTATTTTTTTGTCCTTTTAAAAGCTCAGTAGCAAAAAAATAAAAATAAAAATAAAAGCTCAGTAGCAACTATATTCTAAAAAATAGAAGTTATGAGTCATTTTAGCAAATGAATTGAAGGCCTCACATCTAAATATTCCAAATAAGAATAGGAAAGAATGGATATAAACTGATTTTTAAAGTAAACATTTATATGTAAGTTTTCTGAAAGCCCCTCTGTTCTTTATTTTTCTTTTCCTACTTGGAATCGTGTACTGATGAGATAGTAGGCTAAGGTCACTCCTCTGAAATGTATCTGGAGAAACATTTATAATCTGTTTTTAGGCTTCAGATGGGAAACAGATAAGTTTATAAAGGTTTGCAAATAAAGAAAACAAGAACCATATAGGTAAGAAAATTTTGGGTAGCCATCCTTCATTTAAATGGTTAATGTTAAAAATAAGATACTACTTTTTCATTTGGATTGTGGTTATATCATTTTACAAGTTAAAATATAAATTATGGTTTTTGAAAAGTACAGTTGCAGCATGCAGATTTATGTGGATAAAACATATATTTTGGAGTAGAATGTGGTGGCCGGTCAGTGAGTATTAGCTAGGAAAAGGCATCAGTAAGCACTGTACGGTACGTACCCAGCACACTGCCTTCGCCATGGCAGATCCTCCTTAAATTTGATTTCAGTTAAGGAGTAGACTCTAGGAGCAGGGAGTCATCATATGAATAAGCCAGCCTAATTAGGGACTTCATTTAGTACTACAGATTTTAATGCTTAAACTTAGAATCTCACAGTTCAGAATTTAAGACTCATTTTGAAAAACTAAAATGTTTACATGTCAAAAGAAATAGATGTTTTCAATGATGTGTTTAAGGAAGGATATGTTTGACTTTCTTTTTGATGATTTTTCTGTCGAAATTATATGAATTATTTAGCAAGTTTGCCACAATTTCCATTGAATACTTTGAAAGACACATGGACACTCTGAAGTCATCATATCCTTTTTAATATGGTAGCAGTGAAATAACTAGATGTATCTCCAGTGACTGAACCTGCCTAGGTTTCTACTACAGAGTGATTTTTTGGAAAAAAAGGGGAAAGAAAAAAAAATCTCATTGTACCCCAGACCCCTTCCCCAGAGTCATTTACCTATTATAAGTTTTTTATGTATTCACTCTGATACTATTTAAAGAGATTAATATACTGGGGAATTTTGCATTAATGAAAATGTACTCTTTGGTAACTGCTCTTTTCTAGGGACTGCAGGTATTTCCCATGGCTGGAGCAGGGAGTGGGAGGTGATGGCTGGCGGGAGATGCCGTGGGTGAGGCCTGGGAAAATTGTTCCTGCTGTTCTTAGAACCTGTGCTAGAGTTTTAAGCATGATCAGACTGGGTTTTAGAAAGCTCGTGATATGGTAGGAGGATGGAGTCCAGTTAGGAGGCCCCATCACTCTGGTGACTACCCTCGGGAAGCCAGCACTTGGACAATGGGTGGCCCTGCCATTGGCTCTTCGTCATGTAGACCCATGCTTTGCAAACCTTGAAGTATGTACAGATCACCTGGGGGTCTTATTAATGTGCAGGTTCTGATTCAGTAGGCCTGGAGTGGGGCGGGAAATTCTGCATTTCCAACAGTCTCCCAGGTGGTGCTGGTGCTCTGGACCACCAGAAACTCTTGCTTTTGGAAGAACTGGGAGTCAGTGAATTAGGGCCTAGAATTCAACACAGAGGTTTGGCCTGGGAGAGGAAGCCAGTTATCAGTTTAGGGCCCATCGTCAAAATGGGGTGAGCTGCAAGGCTGACTGATGCAGAGCTGTTTGGAGCTGGGGCTCTCGGTGCCCTGTTGTGTTCCCTGCCTGAAGTGGGGGAAAGTGGATGCTTAGTGTTTGGGTGGAAACTAAGTGAGTCTGGAATAGAGATTAGAGGGCATATGGGCATGAAGGTATGGAGAGCTTGCTGAGCTACAGGTCCTCAACCAGTTCAGAGTACTGGCTTCTTAACATGACACTGAACTGTCCCTTTCTGCTCCGGTCTCTCCTTGTACACCACCGCCAAGGCCAGAGGTGGTGTTGGGTATGAGTGGGGCACAGACCATTGACCTGGGGCTTCAGAGAGACCCTGACGCTGGTCGGGCAGAAGGGAAAATAACTGGTTCTGCAGGTACCAATTAATTATTCTTTAATTATTTACAGATTACAACCCATGACTCAAGCACAAGTTATCTTTTAAGTTATGCTTTAAAAAGCATTAAAGCTGTATTTGCAAAGGAAAGACAATTTTAAAAAATGCAGAAAATTTGTTATGAGAAAAAAGAAAATCACCCAGATTCCACTATCAAAAGAAAATGTGTAAACATTGATGTTTTGTTTTACCCTTATAGTCTGTGTGTGAATAGTTACTGTTTTAAAAAATTTTTTTTTTTTTTTTAATCCAACAAAAATTTAAACCTGCATTTTTCTCAGAGACTTCAATACAGTGGCCAGGCTTCTTCTTCTTCTTCTTTTTTTTTTTTTTTTTAATTTTAAAACCTTTGAACAGAACACAAGTTTTAAGACACAGTAATGCACCGTGGCCTCCCCTTGGGTGTTAGAGAACCATTGAAGACAGGAGCCCTTTGTTTGTATTCACACCAGATGGATTGGTCATGCAGAGGTAAAACTTCATCTGTGACAGGAACATTTGCTCTGAGCAAACATGGGCTAGAAAACCATAAAAACCCTATCTCCTGTTCCTTTTTTTTTAAAAAAACGAACCAAATTACAAAGGCTATTTTAATTCTTTTAAAATAACATTCTTTTTCTAACTTTTAGGAATTTGCAATTTTGTATATATTGTGTTACTGTGGACATTTGGTCCTGTATGTAGGAGGGACGTGTTTAATAATCTGGTTAACATTTTACACCGGTATATAAGGCTTCAGTTTATTTTCCTATTCAAGTTTTTGAGTAAATAAACTCAGTCAAGGCATGTCTGCTTTGTGTATGTCAATCTTCTATTGGATAACAACAAATCCTGCATAATGCATAAGTACTTAATGATTAACCCTAAAGAAGGAGTAATCTGCAAAATGAGGCTGGCAGTTTCCTAGTCTTCAAGGAGTAATCCTTCCATGGCATACAGTTGTCACATGCTTACAATACTTGCTACAGTCTTATGCTTGTAAATTCCTGAGTCACATGATCTTAGATGGTTAGGAATTGAAATGTGTGTAAGAGCCTCAAGAATTTAGCTTTGAGTTCTTCCTGCCACAGATGGCCCTTAGAATTTCACATCACTTACTGAAAAGCTGCCAGAGTAGATGAATATGTGGAAATAAGCTTTCATCTTCAGTTTGCATAGTATTGTCCAGATCTTGGAATTATTCTGTGGCATGCTCTTTTCTGCATTGTGTAAAAACACAGCCTAGTATACATGAGTATATCATGCTCTCTAAAAGTCTAATTAAGTGGTTCAAGGAGTTAACCAAAGAAAATACCAGTCAACAATGCAAGATAAATAAGCTCTAGAGATCTGTTGAATGATGTCGTGCCATTGTGCCTATTAACAATACTGTATTTATATACTTAAAAATTTGTTAAGAGGGTAGATCTCATGTTAAATGTTTTTACTACACACACACATACACAAAAGGCAATTCCCAGCCTAAGAATTACTGCTTTATTAGGACCTAAAGGTGTCAAAGATGACTTGAGTAGCATTTCTAATTACGAAAACAGTCCAGTGAGTCTTACTTTCATTTTCAGTTATTGGTTCTCTCTGTGTTCTCAAACACATCAGTGTGGCCTGTGGGGATTGACCTGCTGCTGATCCCATATATTTAGATTATCTGATGCTTGCTTTCTTTCTGAACGCAGATATCATGTAGGTGTTCTTTAGTTAATACAATTTTACTTGTGTAACATAATTTATTATGTTAATAGAGAAGAAAGAGTACCTTAGCTTGTGAGAATGTATACAATCAAAAATATCCACGTTTACTGTTTGCTGCATACCACTAACCCTGGGTTTTGGTGATGGATGAAATTTCTAAAGGAAGAGCATTGTTCATCAATAGCATTCAGGGCACCTGGGAGTCGCCTGGGAGCGTTTTAAGACACATTGATGTTAGAAGCTCCAGCCCCAGAAATTCTAATTTACTTGGTCTGGGGATGAGATCTCCTCTTTTGGTATTTTATAAAAGATATCCAGGTAAATATAATGCACACCTGGGGTTAAGAATCACTAGCATATAATAAATGTCTTATCCTTAGCTTCTAAGGGATTCTTATACATTTTTATACAAACTTTACATCAGTGTGTGCGTGTGAAATTTTCTGGGGAGATGACCCAAAGAATTTATGAAATTGTAAAAAGAATATGTGACCTCAAAGTTAAAAAGCATTCGTGCAGGAAGAGGAAAACAGAAAGCATAGAGTTCTTCCAGACTACACTCCTTTGGGAATTTGAGGAGGAAGGGAGCAGTGGTGCCTGGAGCTGGGACTGGCCTGTGAAAGCTCAGTTGTGTTTATCATTCCTGATTTCGTGTTCTGTGATGTCATGTTAGTAGCTTGGATTTGGCCATGGTGGGAGAATTACACCACAGAAATGGCAAATGCTCCTCCCTCCACGAGGATACACTGTAGTAGTCAGGGAGGCCATGTGAGAAGTTTAAAGGATGCACAGGAGTGCCAAGCGCTGCAGGGCTCAGCTGTGAGGAGCCTTTAGGGCCGCTGGACTCCCCAGTCTGCCCCTTCTGCTCGGCTGTGGCTCCAGTTGGTGCAGACTGGATGCAGGTGCCTGATCTCATGAGTTCAATAAGTTTAAAATAAATGAACCACATTTGTTATGTGCCCTCCTCATTCCCCAATATCAGGCAGAGTGCTGGAAATAGGAAGGGAAACATCAGGAAAAACAGACTGGGAGCAAAGAGAAAAGGATCTCCAATTACTCAGAGAGGCAAAGTAACTTGCTTAAAGATTGCACCCGTAGATAATAGCAGAGATCTAGATTCTGAGTCTCCTAACTATAACTGCCCACATTACACTTTTTGAATTATATTTTTCTTTTTATTTTTTTATAGTGATGAAGTCTCATTGTGTTGCTTTACTGTTTCATTTTATTTTATTTTAAAATTTATTTTGTTGTTGTTGAGACAGAGTCTTGCTCTGGGCACGAGGGCAGTGGCATTATCATAGCTCACTGCAACCTCAAACTCCGGGGCTGACGTGATCCTCCTGCCTCAGCCCCACAAGTAGCTGGGACTACAGGCACATGCACTACGCCTGGCTGATTTTTCTGTTTCTTGTACAGATGGGGTCTTGCTCTTGCTCAGGCAGGTCTCTAACTCCTGGCCTCAAGCGATCCTCCTGCCTCAGCTTCTTATAAGCCAGCGTGCCCAGCTGGAATTATCTTATATTTTTAGGAGTTAGGACTTTCTATACACTATAGGATAGATGAGGGCAATCTCTTGGAATGTCATGATTGGAATCCTTGATCCAGAAACTTGTGCACATCTGAACTCCAGCGACTTAGATTGTATCGAGTCTATAAGGGCTTAAAAGTAGATTTGTTAAATTTTAAGACATTACAATTTATAGCCAGTATATTCTTCTTTCTGATTCTGGGATCGAAAAACTTCCCAGCATTGAGTAATGGGATAGATTCCATGGGGAAAAGGCCACAAGGGAGCAAGAGGCTGCATAGGAGGTGCTGCAGGACAAGTGAGAGGAGTGCTTGGGGAAAAGGTCAACTTTTGCTGACCTTTTCCTGTTAAAAAATAGGAATTTTTTAAGACACAGAGGAAAAGGGGCTAGCAGAGTGGGAGACAGACGTGAAGTGAGCCGAGGAAGAGAGAGCTCTGAAGCGGGGCGGGGTGAAGACAAGGGAAGGTGGGGTGGTTTTGCCCCAGTGTCACGGGCATGTAGCTCATCGGGAAACCACGTCGCTCCCTTCCTCAGGCTGGTTTTGTAGAGTTGGCTCTTGGACGTCCCAGTCTGACCCTGACAGTGCATGAGAACTTTTGAATATGTTCTATTTCTGCTGTACTTTTGTCTACCTGAGGGTAGTCACTGCTCTCCATGATTAGTAAGATTTAATTCAACCTTGGGAGAGACCACATCTATTAATTAATACCTTCTTACCCAGGGCAACTAGATAGTTTGGATGTTGGAACACTCGTGTTGACGGTAATTCATGTTCTGGCCATTGCTGTTGCCACTAGCTGGCCACCTATTACAGAGAGGTGGCAGCTGTCCTGGGAGGAAGACTTCAGGTTTTGAGAAATAATTTAGGGGAAGGCAAACTGATTTTTCTAAAATGTGAAAGTTGTTTAAATGTTTTAGTATAATTATAAGGATATATATAATTGGTAAAGAAAATACTAAAAAGGGGGACTGTTGATATTTTATAAGAGATTTCTGTTTCTTACCTCCTACTTTAACAGTTAGAAAAATCCAACATGTTCTAATCTGTTTACAGGTGCTTTTCAGTGGGAAGAATTGGAAGAAGATATCAGGAAGAAGTTAAAAGATTCTGGGGATGTTTCAAATGTAATTGAGAAAGTTAAATGCATTTTAAAAACACCAGGAAAGGTAAATTAATTTGTTGTAAATTAGTTTACTTTGACTCTCTCTGAATTGTAATTGATACACTGTGATGAATGTAATATTGAGTCATTAAAACAGTCAAATACTATATAAATACAAATGTTTTCCTTAACTATATTTAAATATTTTAAGCATAAACACATGTTATTTCTTACTATCTTAGATTTTAATTTATATAAGAATTAAAATATGTGTGAGTCATCTCTTTAAAATGTTCATTTGTGAATTCCTTCCGATCCACTCCCCTGGAGCTCTGGAAATACACGATCTATGTCAAGAATGAAGGGCTGTTTGATTTTCTAGCTACAGTTAAGGTTATTAGAAGGAGTGCTTTCTCACTCATGATTTAAACCCAAGTAGTTTTGGGGAGCAAGGCAGTTTCTGCACATGCTTTTTTTCGGGAGTTCTGAGGAATCTATTTGAACAGGTTTACAGTTAAGGATTCTCTCATCAAATATAGGTTCAAAATTATAAATTAGGTTCAAAGTTATAAAAATACAAACTTTGTATATGACCATAAACTTGTGCACATTAAAACTATAGCAACTTAGATTACGTTGAATATCTAAAGGCTTTAAAAGTACATTTGTTAAATTTTTTTTTTATTTGTTTATTTATTATTCCAGGGTTTTGTGAGGGTACAAACATTGTAGTTACACTTTATGTCTTTGCCTCACCCAAAGGCATGCCCTTCCCTCCCTTTAGTGCTCCCCGTGTCCTTTAGTTGTAGATTTGCCCCCCCATCCCCCTAATCCCTAGAGAATATTTCTGCCATGTGATCAACATAGTGTTGATCAGTTAGTACCAATTTGATGGTGAGTACAAATGGATCCCGTTCTTCTGCTCTTGTGGTGCCCCACTTTGGATAATGGGCTTAAGTTTAATCCAGGAAAGTATAAGAGGTGCTAGATCACTGTCGTTTCTTATGATTGAGTAATATTCCATTGTAAACATATACCAAATTTTGATAATCCAGTCATGGATTGACGAGCACTTGGGTTGTTTCCACATTCTTGCAATAGTGAATTGTGCTGCCATAAACATTCAGGTGCAGATGTCTTTATTGTAGAATGTTTTGTGCTCTTTTGGGTAGATGCCTAATAGTGCTATTGCTGGATCGAATGGTATTTCTATTTTTAGCTCTCTGAGGTATCTCCAAATTCTTTTCCACAGAGGTTGCACTAATTTGCAGTCCCACCAGCAGTGTAAAAGTGTTCCTGTCTCTCCACATCCTCGCCAACATTTGTTGTTTTGTGTTTTTTTGATAGAGGCCAATCTCACCGGGGTTAGGTGATACCTCATGGTGGTTTTGATTTGCATTTCTCTAATGATTAGAGATGTTGAGCATTTTTTTATATGTTTGCTGGCCATTATTCTGTCTTCTTTTGAAAAGTTTCTGTTCATTTCACTTGCCCATTTGTTGATGGGGTTGTTTGATTTTTTCTTGTTGATTTTTTTGAGTTCTAGATAGATTCTGGTTATCAGCCCTTTATCAGATGTGTAGAGAGCAAATATTTTTTCCCATTCTGTGGGCTGTCTATTCACTCTAATGATAGTTTCCTTGGCAGTGCAGAAGCTTTTTATTTGATTAGATCCCACTTATTTATTTTTGTTGCTGCGGCGATTGCTTTGGGGTCCTTCTTCAAGAATTCCTTGCCTAGGCCGATGTCTGAAAGGGTCTTCCCAACATCTTCATTTAGAATTCTTAAGGTTTCATGCCTTAGGTTTAAGTCTATTATCCATCTTGAATTGATTTTTGTGAGAGGTGAGAGGTGGGGGTCTAGTTTCAGTCTTCTGCATGTAGCTATCCAGTTTTCCCAACACCATTTATTGAAAAGAGATTCTTTTCCCCAGTGTATGTTTTTGTCAGCTTTGTCAAAGATTAGATTACCATATGCAGATGGTTTCATCTCTGGATTCTCAGTCCTGTTACATTTGTTAAATTTTAAGACATTACAAAATTTAGCTAGTGTATTCTTATTTCTGATTCTGTGATAAACAAATTGGCTACAGTAGATAAAAAGGTAAGTTGTGTGCAATGCTTAGCAGAATATAGGTTTATATTAAATTCAAAAGAAGATTATTCCCTTAATGTTTTAAACACAGGCGATTTTGTCAGTTTCATAGCCTAAGCTATAAACATTTTAAAGTTAATATTTAAAAAATGTAAAACTGTAGTAGCTTTAAGTGAAGACTTTTAACTGTTCTTTAATGTAGAAAATGGTCTTTTTTAAAAAAAACAAAGTAACACGGAATTAAGAGGCAAGATCTTTCTTTTGTTTCAGTAACGCATTGAAGCAGACATACAGAAGCTGTCGAGTTTTACAGGTATATGGCGGGACAGTAGCTCTCTTGAAATACAGTTCAACTAAATAGTCCTTTTGTAACAATGCACACATATACCTACATTAAAAAGTTAATTTGGTTTTCTGTATTAACTCATTTGTGAACCAGTTAAATATATATCATATACATCTGTATTCTCTCCAAACTTCTGCCCTTCCCCCCCTTTTTTTTTCAAATTCAAAGCAAAAGTGACAAGGGGATCTCTTTATACAGATTTATTCTCCCTCCCTCCATTCCTCCTTCCCTCTATCCATCTCTCTCTGTTTCTCCCCCTTTCTCTCGGTGTGTGTGTGTGTATGCATACACACCCATATATACATATTCATACATAATATACATCTGCATAATATTCATAACATACAAATTCATAGCCTTGACATAAATGATAAGGACAGAAGTGTTGGCTTTTTTTCTGACCCTGCACCTTTCCTTGAGTTCAATTCCGAACATACTCTTTTGACTACTGAGAATAAAATGAATTCTTGTTGGGGAAGGGGGAACTGGGACTATATGGTTCCATGCTCTTGAACTAAATTCCCTCCTTTGCACAGGAGGAGAGTTCTTCCACCCTTTCTTTCTGTACTTTCCTGGGGTAAGGGCCTCTCTCACTCACTAAGTACAACATGTGATATAACACTGAATTCGGACTCAGGAAACATAGGTTAAAATGGTGAGTCTGCCACAAATTATCTCTGTGGCTTTGACCAAGTCAGGGCTTCCTGTAAGATGAGGGATAAAGTAGATGGTTTCAGAAGCCCCTGCTAGCTCTCCAATTCTGTGATGGTTTTTGACTGTTACTCTCCTCTATGTGTGGCAGTCACTTGACGGCTATCCCCCAGTTCCTTCAGTGTGTATTATGGGATGTAGTGTTTAGGATCTCAGAGTGTGCCTTATAGGACTTGATTCACATGATCCTGTTTTGCCTCTCTGCCTTGCTGTGGATACCATTCTGGAGTGTGTTTTCTTCTTCCTAATGAGGAAGGATGGTATCATTTTTTTTTCTTCCCCAAAGATTTTCAAACTTCCCACTATAGTAGATTAATCCAGAGTGGGAAGTAGATGTCATTGATTCTCATTATTGCTGAAGTTATACCTTTGATTATTTCCTAGGGATAAAGCTTTCTGAGTTCCCTGGCTAGCTAAGCCAGAGAGTCAGAGCTGAGGTTCTGAGATTCAGCAAGGGAAATGAGTGAAGCCATCAGGAATGAGTAAAATGTGACATTTAAGTAAAAATCACAATTAAATCATTCCCAATGAGGGGCTGTAGTATCCCAATATAGACTCTAGGGAAGATTACAGTCCTAATGAATTCTAGCATTTAAAATGATTTGTTATTTCTTCATTTTTTGGGTAATTCTACCCAAAAATGTTGTTCAGGCTTTGTTTATCCATTGTAAATAAAGAGAGTAAATAAAATGGGAAGAAATGGGTGGATGGTGAGGAAAGGAGGGCTGGCCCTCAACTTGTAGGACTGGAACAAGGGGATGCTTGGAGAGACCACAGGAAGGATGAGCAAAGCGCCAAAGCCTGGGGCAGACAAAGGCGCCGTTCCTGGAGGCTGCCACCTCCAGCAAGGTGTGACAGGACAGGTGGTGTTTTCAAGGGAGAGATTCTCTGGAGATCCAGAACAGACATCCAGGCTACTCTGATTCCAGTAGTCTCTGCTGTGCATAGGAAGGATATTTGAGATTATAAGATTGGAGATTAAGATGGAGAAGAACCAATTCATCACTCCCATGCATCTTTTAATGTTCATTCCTTTAAGAGAAAATGTTGAGCTAGTGAGCAGTAAAAGAACATGGTATGATAAGCGGAAATGTATTTTTCCTAAGTACAAATTAAATTTTTGTCTTTGTACTTTCTTAATGAACAAATTAGGTTGTGTGTGTAAAGATACTCTAGTAGACATTCATATGGGGTTGGACTACTGTTGTCTGTTTCTTGCCAGAGACTCGGGTTCAGGACCCTACAGCTTCTTAGCTGCACAGCTGAGTTTCCAGGTAGGCAATTCATTTACTGCTGTGAATGTTGGAGAGAGGAGTGTTGCTCATTAACAGGTAGTAGATGTAGTTCTTGAAGATAAGTTCCCTCGAAAGCTATGATCAGGGATGCCGTAGAGCAGGTAACTATTATTTCTTTAGAAATTTAGCACAGTTTTCCAAATTCTCAACCCAGCCTCTGTATTATTAAAGCATATTAAGCAACCTTTCCCCTTGTATTTCCTTATAGATTAATTGTCTAAGGAATTGCAAAACCTATCAAGCCAGAAAACCTCTGTGGTTTTATAACACTTCCCTCAAGTTTTTTCTTAATAAACCAATGCTTGCTGATGTTGTCTTCGAAATACAAGGTATGGCTCACCTTTTACAAAGTTCCTTATTCATTTTTATTTCTTGTTTTCTCTCCTCACTTTCTCTTTCAGGTTTGAATGTTTGGTGTGAGGGAATAACTATTCTCTCTTGCAGAATGTAGATTAATATTACCCAAATTTCAACAAAATCTTCCAGAGCAATGAAGTATTTTATCAAAATAAGAAAAGAAATTGATATTTCCCTTAGTATTTTTCCCTTTCCATATGCTTCATTAACTTTCAGAGACCAGCAAGGGATGGGGTGATCTGTAATATTTCATCATATATTTTTGTTTGTGTATTTCTTAAAGATCCTAGTTTTTGATCCATCTGAAACCAATCCGCTTAAAATTAAATCACCTCTAGCTTATTTTATTTAGGTCTTTTCCTTTTTATTTGAAAAAAAGGGTCGAGGGTTGTGCCTGGCCTACATCGGACACCCACAGAGACTGCTGTATTTACTCCTTACAGCACCCTGAGAACTGTTAGCATCAGAGCAACTGAGAGCTGCTGTTTATCTCCCTGGGAAAGTAGTGCTACCTAATTTTAATAAAGATGAGCTGTTTTCATGCCCATTATTGATTACTTGCTTGGATAATTTTGTCCCTTTGGTAGATTAAAAGCAAAATCTTAGGAATGAACTGTCAGATACCTTCAATTATGCAGGAAGGGCAGAAGGAGGTGTTTCCAAAAAGAATTAAGTAGAACTTTAGATGGGCTATTACTAAGAGGAAGGTAATAATTCTTATTTTAGGGTAAAAATGTGTGGCAGCTAACATAGTCATTTACTTTTAAAAAATCTTTCCCCTTTCCAGAAGAGCTTTCGGAAGGGAAAAAAAATTCTTTCCCCAGAAAGATTCACTTTACTTTTAACTTCAGTCACTTGCCAAAATAAACAGTGAGTTGGAAACTTTCCAGAGTACCTTCCGACAATCTGCCATCAGCACCTTATGCAGTGTGAGCCTGGGATACTGCAAATGGGACAGTAAAAGTGACCTTGGGACACATAAAAAAAAAAGACTGGGAATAAAGCTAATAAGAGGCTAAAGATTTATGGACCCTGGCACCAGTTTCTCTGCCATCGGCTGTAGGGGAGGCAAGCCTAGCTCCTGAGAGCTGGGGAGGGGCACTGTGGAGGCAGCAGTGTTGTTTCCTCTGGAGAAGGGCTGAGCCTGGGGTCTGGAGCCCCCTGCTCCAGCATTGGCTGTGCATCCTAACCAGTGTGTGTCCTTGGGCAAGTCACTTGACATTTCTGGCCTTCAAATCTTCTCATTTGAAAAGAGGGTGAACCACCCAGATTCTGAAAGGTCCTTTTTAGTGTCGAGAGTTACAGAGCTCACTAATAGCCACCCTTCTTTGATTCATGTACCTGCAGGGTAGCAGAGAGAAAACTAAGGAGAAATTTTGAGTTAGAAGTTAAGTGAATTCTTGTTCCTTTCAGGGGTTAAAATATGTGTCCATCCTCCCATTGAATGGAATGGAATGGAGCAGAGTGGGTTTGAATTCTCCTCAGTGTGGTTGTTCTGGCTGCAGGCTCAGCTTACTAGGGCCAGTTCTCAGATGGAATTCTTCTAAAATGTCCAGGGAGAGGTTGAAAAACCAAAGGCATTTTACATGAGGAAAGGAGCAGAGGACTTAGAGAATCACTGATTTAATTCATCGCCTTGAGTAACAAACAGTTGAGTATATATTTATAAAGAAACTTTATTATTTTTTCTGATTATGAAAGTCCTATATAATTGTTATAGACTAGTGTGCATAGAATGATCTCATTTATAGAAAATATTTCTATTTTGTTCATAAATGTATAGCAAGGGTCAGGAAGGATATATACCATATTGTGAGCAGTGGTTATCTTTAGAAAATGAGATGAGGATGATGGTGATTAGAAAAATGTTGTAAGTGCTCACTGTAGAATAGTCAGATAACACATAAAGATGCAAAAGAAAAAAATCACCCATAATCCTATTTCCTGATGATAGTCACTATTTGTTTGATTTTGGCATATTTTCCTCTAATCAGTTTTCCTCTGTTTAAAAATAGGGGTAGGTAATAAATACTATTTATCCAATTGTGTATCCTTTATTTTTAAACTTGTATCATAGCTTTTTATGGTATTTAAAACCTTTTGTTAGCATTTTTAATGTCATTATATGGTTATATCCTTTTTAAAACTATAGGTGTAAATTTAGGGATTTCCTGCATTTTCACTATTAGAAATAATAGCTGCATTGTAGGTTTAGTGTAAATACCTTACTCTGAAATTAGGATTATGGGATAGATTCTTAGTCAAAGGATATGAATATCTGCAAGACTCCATACATGCTATTAAATTGTGTATGTCTAGAAAGATTGTACCAATTTACATTCCCATTGGCAGTGTATGAGAGTGCTTGTTTTAGTATATCTTTCTCAGCATTAAGTATGCTTCTATCTTAATTTTTATTGCAAATTTAATATGACTATTTTTAATATTCTAATCTGGAATCGAAGAAGCCCAGGTTGTGTAAATCAAAAGTCAAATCTGTTCTGATCCATTGAATTTTTTAGTATTGAAACATTTTTATATTAATTATTGTTACTGTAATATATAATAATAGCACTGACTCTGGCAGCAACTCTACTAGAGATCATATATATAAAGCTCAAGTCTTGAAACAATGCTGTATTTCAGTATTGGTATTCACAACCCTAGCTGCCAAGTGATGTTGGAACAGAGATTTACACCTTTCTAACTCCAAGGCGAGCCCAAGAGAGTGTGCCTACAACATCTAATTAGTGGAACTAGAAAAAATTAGATTGATTTCAGAATGATTTAGTCATAACTGTTGCTCTATTTAAAGTCAAAATGCATTCTCTGGTGTATTCTGTTTTATATTCTTGTCATTCTCTGAAAGTTTGTACAGGTTGGGTACCCCTAATCTCAAAATCTGAAATCCAAAATACTCCAAAATCTGAAACTTTTTGAGTGCTGACATGGTGCTCAAAGAAAATGCTCATTGGAGCATTTTGAATTTCAGATTTTTGGATTAGGGGTGCTAAACTGGTAAATGTATACATAATGCAAATATTCAAAACTCTGAAAAAATCTAAAATCCAAAATATTTCTAATCTCACACATTTCAAATAAGGGATACTCAACCTATACCAGGCATGAAGGTTTATGTTTCAGGTCATGTTAATGCCTCTCAGTGTGACAACATTTGAGCATATGGTTTTTAATTGTAATTAAATTAACAGGCAGCTAAATTTTAATGTCATTCTGAAAAACTGTCTAAGGTCTATTTTTTTTGGTGTAGATGGAAATAGCTGTTTGAAGTGTGAAAGTGTTTCTAAGTTTGTGATTGACTTGTTAATTTAAATGTTTTACACCAAAAATGGGGAGGAAAAATATTCTTATATTTTAAATTTATACTGAACTTGAGACAGATGCTCAATAACATGTCCCAAATCTGAATAATAAATTTTTTAAAAAATTATAGTGAAATTTTCAGATAAACATACAATTTTTTTCTCTATACGCTTTACCTAAAACATATATGATGCAAAATACACATTTTGAAAGATTCCTATTTGTGAAATAATTCACATATGGATGTAACTTTGGTATTCATAATATAAATTTATGTAATGGGAAAGTAATTTATGTAATGGGAAATAATGGGAAAGATAATCTAAAAATTAAATAATTATCCATCTAAATGTAGTGTTTTCTCTTCATACAGTAATAATATATTTGAAGTCACATGTAATAATTCTTTGGCTTCTTTACTCCAGTTTTGAATATTACTCAGCCTCATGAGAGGTTTAAAGAAACCTAAGTAAGAATGGAATCTATGGAACAATTTAGATCAGAACCGATACACTGATACACCTTGATGAGGTGGTAGTGACATGGGCCAGAAAGATCTGATGGGATGTTTGCTTGGATGCATTATTTACTGTAGGTTTGACCGTGTTACTTTATGTTTCTAAGTCCTCTGTTTCCTCACCTATAAAATAGAGATACTAATTTCTACCTTGTGGAGTGGTCACGAGGATTGAGACAATGCATAAAAAAGCCGCAGCAAAGGCCTGACCTGTAGACTCTACTCCCCCTGGGATGGCAGCCAGCAGTGGGAGGGACCATTGTACTTTTTCCTGCTGAACCCAGGTTCCACAGCCAATACTTTTTAAATGTTCCAGGGTATCACCAACAACTGGCTGAAATTGACATGGGATATAAAATGGGATACTATCCCTGTAATAGGTGGTCATCAAATATATATTTTTTCTACCACTCCCAAGTTGTTTGGATTTGTAAAAGAAAAAAAAAATTACTATAGCAGTTCTAAAGTTAGTCTCTTTTTTTTTGAAATTTTTTCTTTTTTTTTTTTGAGGTAGGTGGTAATTTTTTTTAACTTTTTTTTTTTTTAAGTTAGTCTTGGTACATATTTAGACATGATATAGAAAGGTATGGGTTTGCTTTTAACATATGAGTCTGCAAGGCATGAAGAGTTCGTTACAAAATTACATTCCTTCCCAGTATACTTACATAGTGCATATTCTAAGTCTCTTGAGCTAGACAAGTATCTTTTTTCTTTCTTCAGAAATAGTTCTAAATATTTCACTTTTGAAACCTGGAAAGTAGTATGAAGATGTGACTACTGTAGTATTTTATTTTAATACACAGTAAAATAAAGATCTTTAATAATCTATATAAAGTGACTAGAAAACTTGGGCTTTTAAATTTTGTTTCACTCTTACAGTCCTTTTCCTTAGAAAAAGTTTCTTAAAACTGTAACATCAAATGAATACTACTGAGAAAAGATAGTTCGGCCTTGACATTTTTAAGGAACATGTTTATCTTTTAACTAGAAAATTGATATCTTTTTTTTTCCATAAGTAACTCTACCTGTATCCAGTTGCCAATAGTACATAAACACTGCATTATGTTCATTCAGCATATTTTTAGATAGAGTGTTTAAAAATATAACTATACTGAGGCGTTGTATTATAGTTTCACAACAGAATAATTTATAACACCAGTTTTAAAAGGTGAAAAACAGAAGTTGATATTTTCTTACCTAGAAGTATAATGGTTTTCTAAACTAAATTCCAAGCTTGAAATAGGCTTAAAAATGCTTTAAAGTACAGTTGTCTCTTAGTATCCATAGTGAATTGGTTCCAGGACCTCCTGTGGATACCGAAATCCTTGATGTTCAAGTCCCCGATATAAAATGGCATAGTATTTGCATATAACTTCTGCATACCCTCCTGTGTACTTTAAATCATTTCTAGATTATTTATAATACCTAATGCAATGAAAGTGTCATGTAAATAGTTATTATACTATATTGTTTAGGGAATAATGACAAGAAAGAAAAGCCGATACGTATTCAGTACAGTTGCAATTTTTTCCCCGAAGTATTTTTGATCCTTAGTTGGTTGAGCCCTGGATGTGAAACCCACGGATATGGAGAGCTGACTGTACTGAGTGTTTTGTTGCTGGTTTGGCAATTCTGTTGTAACCACATTATCAATGGAAAATTTCTGTTAAAATTTCAAGGTTACTTTTAAATTCCACCCCCATCTGCTATCCACTTGGTATTTTTGGTCAATCTTAAATTTCTCTGCCTAACCCAAATGATAGGTCATCCAGTTTGTTTGTCATGTTTCTAATTTTTCTTCTTTTCTTTCTTTTTTTTTTTTTTTTAAATGATGCCCAGATATCTTTAAAATTTTAAAACCTTAAAACTGTAAGTTAAATGGCATTACCTGTTACAATTCTTTCTTAATTGCTGTATACAAGTATATCCTGCATGCTTTAATTACGGGAACTGATCCTCCCTGGTATATGGACACTGTCACAGTGAGGTAGGGAGGGGAGGATGCCTGATGGTAGATGTGTTGACCATCTGGGAGGGATCCCCAAAACTGCTTCTCTGCTCCTGGGGGACATACGGCTGTGCAAGTCACAGTGCCATGTCGTCGGCTCACAGGTGGCAGTGTCAGGTGTAGCTCCTGAGAGCTTGTTGGCTTTGGAGAAAGCAGCTAAGCTTAGATGTAACTAAGTCAGGAAAATTTGCTCGAATTTCAAGGGGATGAAGAGCCCAATTATTGTAAATATTTTAGAGAAGAATATATACCCCTTGATAAGTATGAGATTTTAGGGATATGTAGGTAAACTCTTGGGCAGAGCAGAGTGGTTTGGCTCATAGAGTTACTTTCTTGGAGGAGGCTACTTTGTCACTCACACTGGCTGTGGTGTCTTCCACTAAACTAAAAACTGCTCCAAAGGAGGGGTAGCTTTGTCTTCCTCATCTTTGTATCTTCCACTCCAAATGCAAAGATTAGCACATAGGTGATGCCTGATAATGATCTGTTTAATGGATCTGGGCCGGCAGTGGGATTCACGGTTTCCTAAGGTGGTAAGAGTGGTGAGAACTGCTTCACCCCCATGAGTCCCAGGCCACCTGAACCCCTATCTGGCATCTGGCCCTGCCTTCAGTGGTGCAGCAATAGCTGTAGAGCTTAGCAAGTTTTTCCTAGAGCGTCTGTTTGGTTTAATGAGCTTCAATGAGCAGGATGGGCTGAGTGGACCTTTAAAATGCAAAGTAGTGTTGGCTCCCCAGAAGCAGGCATTGTTCATGTGGGAAAGAGGTTCCCTGGGGAAGTACTATGCTCCGAGACAGTGAGGACTAAGGTCATCCCCTTCCAGATTTTCATAAGGTCAGAAATGCTCTGGCTCCACAAGAAGTTCACTTGCCATTTCTCCTGTGACGTGTGGACTGCTTATGGTTTATTTTTTCACTTTCCTGTTTCTGATACGGGGAAGCCTGGCCAAGACTATAATGTAAATTTGTCCAAGAGGGTAATGGTTTTCTTGGGAGGCACGTGGGCATAGATGGTGTTCTTTCAAGCCAATGGGAAAAGACAGATGCTTCATTATAAAAACATGAAGCAAAATATTTCATTTCAGTGTTTCTAGCTTCAGGAAATATCAACTAAGTAACAAATAGTTGCCTGATATGCAAATTAGTAGTTTCAAAGTCAACTTTTGAACTTTCTTTATTGTTCAGTTTAAAACTAAGAAGTCTCTAGATTAATGGTGGTTATCACCCCAAAATTGGTTTATGCATATCAGCCCAGCTGTGCCTAATGCAATACTCTAATTAGAAGGAAAATTGCTGGAATAATAACACTCTGCAAGTTTATCTTACTTGTCTTTGTTTCCCTTTTGACCCTTTCAGGTACGACGGTGCCAGCCCACAGGGCCATCCTGGTGGCCCGTTGCGAAGTGATGGCAGCCATGTTTAATGGGAATTACATGGAAGCAAAAAGTGTCCTGATTCCAGTTTATGGTGTTTCCAAAGAGACTTTCTTGTCGTTTTTAGAATACCTATACACAGACTCTTGTTGCCCAGGTGAGCGGTGTAAATGCTAGAGAATATCTCACAATTCTTTCTTTTCTTGTCACCCATTTTGATAAGTTGCTTTCTGTGAAATCTGTTTTCATTCAAGACTTGTTGGAGTTGAAATCATGGAATGTGCTAAGCAGTTGGAGGTGGTGTTGGGACAACAGTCAGTTCAAGTAGAAAAGCAGTAATTGAGTGTCTCTGTGGGCTGTCAGACTCTGGCATGAGTTCACATGTCCCATTCAGCACCAACAGCATGGGGTCACTGTAGGAACCCGAGAAATGGAGGTGTTTTGTGGTCCAGTGTCTACTTTAATTCTGGAGATTGGATCACAGACTCCTTGGAGCACTGCGTCTTCCACAAGAAGAAGAGGATTGGGCAACTGCTTCTATGGCTCTGACTTCTGATTGAGGCACTTTTAAGGACTTTCAATATCATGAGACCTTTTGGTCTTTTTTCTGGTCCAGAGAATGTGGGATTTTTAAAGACTTCCTTTTGACTTCTCCTAAAGTCAGACTCTCCTAAAGCTGACTTCTCTGAAAACTTTTCCTAAGATGTTTAGAATGTCCAATGGACAGTAGGATTTATTTCAAAATTCACTGACCAAGGACTGTCTTTGCCCTGGAACCAACCATCTTGGCAGCTCCTAGTTGGAATGGATCTTGCAGGTTTCCCCTAGCTGGAGGCACCTTGGAGAAATAGCAAAGTCCTTTTAACAGGCCTGGAGCTTTGGGCTGTGCTGGTGTGGAAGCCCTCTTTGATTAGTCTTCACCCATTGGCCACCAGATGGCTCCCACCACAAACACAACTAGAGAAGCCCCAGGTTGCTTATTCCTGAAGCCTGAGACCTTGATGAGAGAACCTAGCCAAGCACCCTAGCAAATATAAAAAGCAAACACACATTTCAGACCATACCTCTCTTCAGATTCGTTGCTTTAATTTTAGACTGGGAAGATTTCTTGTGTTTGTTATTGAAATAAGTTTTAAACAAGTCATAAGCCCTCTATTGAAAGGTTTTAGAAGTTCTAAAAAAGCAAATTCCTTTTTTAAATTGAACTAATTCTGGTCTTGCAGCTAGCTATAGAGTATTTTGGAGCCAGTTACAATTGTTTCTGTCAGTGTTAAAGACTGGCTTATCATCTTTGCCTAAGAGAAATGAAAGCACTGGTTCTTACTGGAAATGAGGGTTATTGTTTATTACTTCATTATTGACAAATTTGTATATTAAATGAAAAATTTGACCAGATTTGAAATAATCAGAAAATTTGGCTTTTCAATCATCCTCTCACTAGTGTAATTGAAGCTGCTAATTTTAAGCTTCGTCTTGCTAATTAGAAAAATTTGCTCAGGGAAGCAATAATAACTATATAGGACAGAGTACCTTGAAAGTGGTAAAATTGTCGGGGAAAATGAGTCAAAATCAATAATCAAAAAGTTAAACCAGACACTGGAATATATGCATTGGGAAGATCACAGCAAGGTAAACTATTCATGATGTTAAATATCTACCATACACAGTGTTCTTGGTTCCATAGCTACAAAAGGTTGTAAGAAATTTAAGAAGAGATAAGAAAGAGAATTACATGAAAAATCAGACTCATAGGGAAGTATTTTTTAAAAAACCAAACTGGGTGGTTGCCAGGGGCTAGGGGAAAGGGGGAAACGGGGAGTTATTATTTAATGGTTACTGAGTTTCAGTTTGGGAAGATGGAAAAAGTTCTAGAAATGGATGGTGGTGATGTACTTCCTGCCACTGAACTGTGTACTTAAAAACAGTTAAAATGGCAAATTTTATTATGTTTATTTTACCACAATAAAAACATAACAACAAACAACCTGGAGACTAAAGCCAAGAAAGAAAAATTGCAAGGATTTAGTTTAGCTAATGAAAGATTAACCTGATAGTTCTGGAATTGATTGTTAAGGGCAATTATGAAATCACCTTCTCTGGAGAATTAAAAAAATAAAAAGACTTGATCCACTTCTGAGTATGGAGGCTTAAATGGATTCTTTTAAAAATGTGATAGAATCTAATGTAGCATGTTAACTCCCTGAGGCTTTTCGTAGGCATTCTTTTCTACGCTAGATGATACAGTCAGCGTGTGTTTTTGGTTTTTGTTGTGTGGGTGTGTTTTTTTAGGTCATTTAAAGAAATGGTTTTATTGTCCATTTTCTCTTATTTCCCTTCTCTCATCAGCTGGCATTTTCCAGGCCATGTGTCTCCTGATCTGTGCTGAGATGTACCAAGTGTCCAGATTGCAGCACATCTGTGAGCTCTTCATCATCACCCAGCTACAGAGCATGCCAAGCAGGGAGCTGGCATCCATGAACCTTGATATAGTTGACTTGCTCAAAAAGGCCAAGGTAATTGGCACTCTGTATCTGGTTGTCTGATTTTTTTTATAAAATATTATTAAAATGATACTATTTTAATTTTCTGTGAATTTTAAGATATATTACTCGTCTTAGTTTGGAAGTTTGGCTAAGTGAAGCTAAAGTGCCTTCACAACACTTTCTGTGGCTAGGTAATTTTGAAGCATTAGGGTTTTTGTGCAGTCCCTTTATAAGGAGGTGAAATTAATGGAGTTGGAGTTTTTTTCAACTTAAGTGTGGCTCTTAGCAGAGTCACTTGAGTGTGGGGCTATCCTGTGTCACATAAGCATTATAGAAAATAGAATATGCATTGGGTTTCCCCAAAAGATCACATCTTAGGGTTCCTAAAAGGAAAATTATAAGATTGGTCCATATATACTGATAGAAATGGTTAAGCTAAACTCATTTATTTCTTCATTTTTTTCATTCATTTCATGAACGTGTTTTGAAGTTCCAGTTGAATGTAGGAGATATTGGTGAACTTCATTAATCCTTGCAAAATGCCTTTTGTTGGTATGTCTCACTGTATTAGAAATCTAGTTAGAAAAAGTATTTGAGGGTAAGAATCACTGCAGTATATACCACACTTCTTCAGACCCTCCTCTAAGCTCAGGGCCTTTTTGTTTTTAAGATTTGTGCTGCTACTCATTCTAGGGAACAGAGGGGGTTCCACAATTAAATTAACTGTGAATAACTGTAGTTACAGAGACCTTAGATTATGAATCTGGGACAGGTCTATAAATAAAATAGGATTGCTGTGTTGAAATCAACTTCCCAAACCCCCAGATGTAGTCCCAGTCAAAAAAATCTACCATCTCCTCATTGCCACTCTCTTTTATTCCTGGAAGCAGAAAGCTTGTTCAGATGGGGCATTTATCCTGCCATTCCATCTGCTGCCCTAGACAGTGTTAGTGCTTGTGGTGGTTATGGCACACTGTTGATGAGTACAGAACTTGCAGTAAGCCGAGCCCCCTAGGCCTTTTTCACAGGAATATATTTGGTCCATCCCTACAAACTGTCAGGACTTCTTAAAATATTATCTGGTATACAACGTACTATCTATCCCTGTCATCTTTGACACCCCAGGTTAAAAGGGCATGACAACTTTGTCTTCAGCCAAGTTGCTAAAATGGAGCCACTTGATGTGGCAAAGGCCAGAGCTCTGTGGCAGCTAAAAGCTTGTCCCCAGGCTGAGATGAATCCATTAATCAACACTCACATTGCTGGGTATAGAAGGGAATATATTTAAAGTATTCTAGGTCTTGTCTTACTAGCTCCTTCACTATTTTGGACTTGAGTTCTCTCATAATCAAGTGTTACAATCATATGTGTTTAACATTAGGGATAAAAACAAATTTAAAAATTAAGTAACCCTGATCTGTCTTTGTAATATATTTACATTAAGCTTATGATAATAAATAGCTCCCATCTAAATTTAGTTTAAAAATGGTCTTTCATTCTTTTTAGCATTTTTGATGTATCATTTTCATACTATCCTAATAAGTCTGTCATACTTTAAAAAAAATGGATACAAGCTTCTTTTGTCCTATCTTTTAGTATCGTTTTAAATAGTTTATGTATAAGAAAACTTCTGTGTGGTCACATTGGTTTCTTTAAGTGCCTTCCCACACCGCACACACGCTTGGTTCCTCTTCAGCATTATTTATGATTGCATTGTTACAAATTCTCAACTTGTTTTTCCCTGATTCTCTGGTTTCTGATTTGGTGATTATCCTTATTTTAACCCCCCTGTATTAAATAAAAATCTAAGATATCAGTTCATTTTGAATTTTATTTTTTTTTTCTGAAGACTTTTTTATTTTCTAAGATTAAGCCTAAATTTATCAATTTTCCTTTATTCTATTCCCAGTAGTTCCTAACTCGGCAATTATGAATCTCAGATAATAGGTAACGTTCTTCCCAAGGTCTCTTTGAAGTTCCTATTTTGAGGTTTCACTTTGCCAGCCAGTTCATCCTGTCCGTCAGAATTTGGTTAACTTTTCCCTCACCATTTCTCTGCCTTTTAGGAGATGAAATTGTCTTTTAGCAGAGTAAGACTCACAGTAGCTTTCTGAATAATGAAAATTTCTAATCACTCTCTTGTCATCCCTGCCAGTTTTGTACTGTGTATCAGGAAAGCAGCATTCATACCTTCTTACAGAAAGGAGAAGTTTTGGTATTTTCTCACCTCTGCATCCACTTTCCCCTAACTTCTCTCACTTCTCTACCAGGGTTCCTATATTTCCATTAAAGTGAAATCTTAAAATACAGAAGTTTGTTTCTCTTAATCAGATCAATTTCTTCACACTGAGGTAGACTTACCTCTACTCGTATTTAAACCCTATCTATCCAAGATTTGGTGATTCCTATAAAGTCGTATTTATTCTCACATTAAAAATTTAAATTGGCTGGACACGGTGGCTCACACCTGTAGTCCTAGCACTTTGGGACGCCAAGGTAGAGCATCGCTTGAGACCAGGAGTTTAAAGTTACAGTGAGCTGTGATTGAGCCACTGCACTCCAGCCTGGGTGACAAAACAAGACCCTGTCTCTAAAAGAAAAAACAAAAACCATTAAATTCATTTTGTTACTTATACATATTTGGCTACCCGAGGCTACAAGTTTTATTTCTGAGAGTTGCCGGGTCTTTTCTCCACATTCTTCATATATATTAGCTCTTAAGTTCTATAGCATTCGGTTTATGATTTTTTAAATGCCTTTCTTTTTTAGTCTGTTGCTCATTTCAGTTTAAACCTATTTTCTTAGGTCAGAACGTATTCTTTCATATAAACCTAGTCTTTATAGTGAGATGTATTCCATCTCTTGCCAAGAGCTCACAATTATGATATCTTAAATCTTGGTTAAAAATAAAATTCTGCATTTTAAGAATGTTTTTGTAGACAGCTATTCATTTCTAAGATATCCGTTCTCTTCCAAAGTCTCAGCTCTTAGACAATGTCCTGACCTTCTGGATGTTATCAGCTCTGGGTTAATCATCTATTAATAGTGATGGCTTCTTAAAATAGCTATTTAGCTAAAGGTAGCTTAAAATAGCTGAAGGGTTTTGAGATCACTCACATTCATCTGCCAAAAGACTGTTAAAATGTGACGTGGGATTAGATGAACTGTAAAGTCCCTTCTAATTCAAAACTTCTGATTTTATATAATGAAAATGGGAGGGACTTATGAATTTATGTGTTAAAATACTCTTCACACCACATAGCTTTTTTTAAAGAACAAATGAGTTATTTCCTTAAGATTTGAGATTACAAGTGTCTTTTCAACTTAGCATTATTCATTGCTTATTTAATATTTTTGAGTGTCCTCCTTAGCCAAAAGGTGGAAACAACCCAAGTGTCCATCAACAGATGAATGGATAAACAAAATGTGGCATATACATGCAGCAGAATATTATTCAGCCCTAAAGAGGAATGACATTTCAATGTATGCTACAATATGGATGAACTCGGAAGACATTATGCTAAGTAAAATAAGCCAGACACAAAAGGACAAATATTGCACAATTTCACTTATATAAAGTACCTAGGATAGTCAAATTCATAGAGACAGAAAGTAGAATAGTGGTTGCCAGGCAGGGCCTTGGGATAGGAAGAAAGCGGAGTTATTATTTAATGGGTACAGAGTTTCAGTTTGGGGTAATAGAAGAGATCTGGAAATGGATAGTGATGTTGGCTGCACAACCCTGTGAGTGTCATTAATGCCACTGACCTGCACATTTAAAGATGGTTAAAATGGTAAATTTTGTTATGCATATTGTACCACAATAGCAATAATTTTAAAAGAACTATACTCAGGTACCAAAGTTGCCTGCCAGCAAGGTACTGTCATCTGAACTGGTGTTTGGATGAGTCAGTGAGTGTCACTGCTTGGCACCAAGGTGATGTCAATGGCCAGGTCGCTTTGAGTCTTCCCTCCGCTAGCGGCTGTTGGAATTCAGAACGAGGAGCTTTGAGCTGGAAATCCTGCTCAGTGTAACGGTACCTCCTGTTAAAAGCAACTATTTGGACATAATTTTCTCTTAGAAATATTTACACATTGAAACCCGCACCTTTAGGCCAATGATGTTTCCTCCTCAAAATAATTTCTGTTTTGCTCCTCAGGCAAACTTGTTTAGATATCGCTCACCATAATCTGCTACGCAGATACAAGTGCGGTTAGTGAAGTCCATGACTTAGATTAAAGGCTTAAAGTAAATCTTCAAGAACCTCAAATAGTCTGTTAGCCACAGATGCAGCCAGGCATCTGCTTAAAGATGTTTGGCCACTCCCACAGTGTTAGCTTGTTATTCCCTGTGGATTTGGTTTCTTCACTGAATGGTGTATTTTTGATACTTGTTACTAATGCTTCCTCTTCCTTTTTGCTGTCACAATAGACTGAAGGCTGCATCATAAATTGACACATTGAACGTGGGTATGGGCTCTCCATGATTTCTCCCAGACCATCTTCTTGATGTAGTCATCATACTGATGGTCATTATGTGCGGTATTGTTTCATTTGTCATTTTTCTTGCAGTTTCACCACTCTGATTGCCTTTCAACCTGGCTACTTCATTTCATTGCCACTAACTACCTCATCTTCAGTCAAAAGCCTGAATTTCAGGATCTTTCAGGTAGATTGTCAATTTCTGTCTTGAAAAGAAAACTTTTTATGTTATTTGTTCTTAGGTCTGAGACATAATTTGTAGAAATAGTAGGTTTAACAAATAAGAATAGTCAGTGTAATGCGTTTCTTTTAAATTATACAATGTGGTAATTGAGGGCATTTAATTTATAGTCACCTGTGTTACATAAGCAGCTTGACTTAGGTTACACAAGAAGATTTCTAATGACTATTTTATAGCTCCCATCCATTTTTAAATGCATTTTTTTCCTGAAATAGATAAGGTGGTGAAGTGTGTCCTTAGGTGGCATTTGGTTGTGATAAGATCTTAGTTTTAACTACCAAAGTCAGAAGCAAAATTTGAACAGTATGGATTTAAAATTTTTTATAAAGGAATTTAACTGTTGTTAACTATATAATGTATAGTTTTATTGTCCTGGATATCTCTATTTATTAAGAATATCTATATAGGTGTCTCTCATGTTACTTTTAAATAACAATTATTTATCAAAGAGTGTTTTGAAACTTATGAGCAGAGTGTATGTAATGTGATTTCCAAGGTAAATTATAAAGATTAAAACCAATCAAAGGGCAAGCTTCTTAGTACTGCCTAAGAGGGAAAAAATGAAAATATAGTAGTTGTCAGAGTAGGCAATCAGTTTAGATACAGTAGTTTGCTCATGTTATTACCTAGCACAGACTCAAAGAAAAATAGAAAAGGAAATGAAAGATTACCTAGTCAAGTAGTCAAACTCTGGACAAAGAAATCTACGTAGAGATGCCTGAAGGTCTTCTAGGGTAGGGGGCAGAAAGTAGGGAGGGAGTGAGGAGAGGGAGAGGGAGGAAATCAGGGAGAGGGAAGAGAAGCTAAAATGTACAGTTCTCAGTCTCTTCCCTCCTGCCTTCAATCAGAGTAGCTCTGCTTTTCTGCTTTTTGTATCTTAGAGTTCTACATAAAATTTTACTTTGTAAAAAGGATTCTGCTGGTAAAAGATGTAAAAATCTCTTGGTTTCATTCATCTGCTCATACAGTTAAGGAAAGCAAGGAACACTCGGTTTTTGGTAGATGTATTCAGCAGGTCAACAAACATCATACACCTATTCAGAGCCTCCTTAGGTAGAACTCAACTATTGATACAGCAGAGACACATGATCACATCTAAACAAAACAAGTGTTTATTAACCATCTACTTTGTGCAAGAAAAAACAAAGTCTATTCCTAAAGATAAGGCATGCTTCTGCTTGCTGTCAATTCGAAGGGACATTCTTA